ATTTGTCAAAATAGCAAAAGACGTTCACTATTATAAATATTTAATACAAACACATACATACTTTACACTCTCACTCATTCATTACTCTACGCACGCCACTCACCACACAATACCACACACTACACAACTCACAATGCACATCACATGGAGCACAAGCTCCTAGGGAGCTAATGTCGGTGAATTCTTGCAACTTCCTGCAGAGAACTCTAGAGGTGGCGCAAGTTGACAAGTTGCTTGACAATTGTTGCCCTGATTTTTCTTTGGACATATTTAGAGGTGGCAGCTTGAAGAAAAATTTAGAGAAGGAGAGAGAGAGGAGGTGGTGTTTCTTCAAAACATATATAACCATATTGAAGACCCATGATTTTTGAGGAATAGAAGCCAATAATAGAAGACACGAGTTTAGGAAAAATTCCCATCTTAAAAGTTGAGTGGCTGAGTGATTATTCTAAAAGCTTAAAGTGAGAATTCCATGATTTCCATCTTGCATCTTATTCGAAATCATAATAGTCAACGAATATTTGTATTTCGAAAATGTTCAATGGTACGAAAGAGTTGTAATAAGATACCTATATTAGGCCTCAAGATTGTATCAAAGAGAAAATAAGAGAGAAAACTCTATAGGATTTGCTCTCCTCGTAGCTAACCCAAATTGGGTACTCGATCTAAAGGACGATGGGAACCTCTTGAGCGTGGCATTTTCCATTACACATGCAATGCAAGGTTTTGACATATAGCATTATAACTACGCATATGAGATGGCCATTGTATTATACAATATGTCGTGTCGTTTATTTACGGGATTTATTCTTTGATTTTATGTCCATGTCAAACTCTCCGCCTAGTAACTGACTTTTTTTTATTGGTTGAATTGAAATTTTTTAGTACAACCCTACTAGATATATTAACTGTTTTATCCCCAATTGGTAGTTGGGTGTGACGTGTCTTGTTTCTATGACACAATCATGCGTGCACCTTAACACCGTCGGTACACATTGAATGCACATCAAGAACTGTAATCGGGTTGCGGTGGTTCGGCGTAGTGTTAGCCAGCTATTAATTCACGTTATCTGACACAATCACGCTTGCACCTTTTATTTTGTGTTCTTTTTGGCTGAAAGTTTTGAGAATTATTGCACAACTGTGCTCTTTTCTAGCTGAAGTCTATGTTGGTGTGCGGAGTGGGGTTGATTCCATGCATCAACTGTGTTTTGAATATATTTTATTCCTACAGACGTCTGTTGCGTTCATCAGCCTTGTGGTCATCACTGTTCCGACATTATATGTAAGATTGATTGTGTCTAAGATTATATGGTGTTTATATGTGATTATGATAGGCTCAGTTTGTGTCTTGTTCTGCTTTGTTATATATTGACCACTGAAATCTTGAAGCATGTGTAGAATGGATTCTGGGTAAGGTTCCGGATCAATTATTATTGTCAAGTTGTTTAATATATGAAGAATAAAACTTTGTGTAGTTATTTCTTTTAATGCAATGAAGAATCTAGATACAAGGTATCTAGTCTATGTCTGAATCTTGCATAGTATCTGTAATTCCTTGTTATCTTACCTTCAGAGGCCATGGGAAGAGCTGCAACATCTCTTTCCAAACTGGCAGACATCGCATAGGAGGAGCTACCAAGCACAATGGCTGCTAGTAGGCTCTCAACCATGGAGGTCGGCGATCTTACACTGGAGGTCGGTGATCTTATTTGAGTTGAAGTCATGTTGATATAAGCAGCTAATCCATGCACCATATGGTGCATCCAAACTAATTCCATCGAGAATTAAGGGAATGCCATGCATTTAGCTTCTCATTATCCAGTCACATGCACATCAAGCGATGTCGTTGAGTTCTGGAACTTTGTCTGGACTTTTGTGGTGAAGTTCATGATGAGGCATCCTCATTAAAACAGGAAGAGAATGACATTTGAAGCGCTTTAAACAGAAGAATGATTACAGAGCTGAACTCGTGCGAGATAACGATTCTAAATGGGTAAAGATGTTTCACGCTGAATATGAAGGGAAGACATGCTTTTATAGAGTCAAGTGAACGTGTATCCTGCATGAAGAATGATCAGTGCAAAGTGTACGTGTAAGATCGGCATTCTCGAGTATCGGTTTATGTAGACAAAAAATTTGTAACATGTAGTCCGCCTCCGCTAATAAGCTTTTTTTTTTTATAATTATTAACATGGCATGGGTCAGTTGATGGTAATTTTTCTTTTTCTTCTTCCTCTTTTTGGCCAGGAGATAGCTGATGGAGTAAATAAATCAGCTTAAGCTATGCAGGCTGCGGAAGCTGGAATTAGACATAGTGGTTGTCTCGCTTGAGAACAGACCAACTGTATGTCTTAACCCTTTCTCTTAGTTTAATTCCCTTCCACGACCTCCTGAATTTCCACTTGATTTGAGAGTTTTGTTATCATGAGGGAGTCGTTTTGCTAGCGATTAAGCTCAATATGGCCGGTTTTGTAGTTGAGGTAGCATTTTACTTGATTTTAACTTCGATTCTCGTTTAATTGATAGGATTGCGAGATCGTTGATTCGGGTAAACTTTTTATTTGGTTTTTGGACATTCCTAGGTGATTGGTGCTATCTATTCTATGGATTTGTAAACTCATGACTTAAAATCGATAGAGATTCAATATACTATGAGTTATGAAAGAGAATGTTTGTTGCATAAAATGTAGATCGGGTATTTACTACATTTTGGTATTTGTGAATAGTTTGAGAATTGTTTAAAAAATGTGTTGCAAAAGGTTATATGTTTATCTGTGAACTTAATTTATGAAATAGATTCTGAAATGGTTTGGCAAACGTATTGGGATCTATGAAATGGTTTGTGGATTATTGAAGGATGATGATTTGATGCTCAATATGGTTGTGAATCTGGTTAAGGGTTTTTGAGAATGCATATTGGTTTAGGATATCTTTTTATGTTGAGCCATAGGCTAAAAATAAGTGGAGACATTGTTAAAGGGGGAATCTTGGTCTGCCTTGTCATCAAGCGTAGTGTCGTTACCATAATTTGATATTGAGCAATAAATTAGTCAATGAAATGGACCATTGACGTGTGGATTAATGAAATTGATAAATGGGATTAACTATTGATGTGTGAATTGATAAAATTTGATCAATGGACTAGACCATTGATGTTTGTTATGATATTATTGATTTAACAAATGTTTATACATACATATATATATGTATATGGTTATGTTAAAGTGATACAACTCATTCTTATCTTATATGTGTATTATATATCGGAATTGAGATTAGTGAGTTTTGATATTGTTTTGTAAAGTGAATAATGGATGCTCAATCTGCTTAGAAGAAATATGCACTACTTACTAGGCTATGGTTGCTCATTCCATTCATCTTTCATGTTTTTCAGGTTCCTCAGTTAGTGGCCGATAGTGCTCACTAGGCCGTGGTTGTTCGTTCAATTCACCTTTCATGTTTTTCAGGTTTCTCGATTAGTGGCCGATAGTATGAGAGGGCTATTTGTTAGGATTCGCCGCACATTCACACAGAAATAAAGAGTAAAAAACGAGAAAGAGAATTAAGACACAAGATTTTTATCCCTTCATCCTTAAACTAGGGCTACGTCCAGTAGAAGATTTCACTATAATTAGCACATTGCACCTCTCTATTACATCTCTCATTTATAAGAGAAAGAGACTATATATAGGCAATAGTTTGATTCAAAATAGGAAACCCATTTCTAGGAAACCTATTCAAAATAGGAAATCTAATTGAATTAAAAAATTTTCCATTTTCGAGCTCAAACTATAAAAGCCCTCCCGGACCCCTGCCCACTCACCAGGGAGCAGTACCCCTGTGCTGTCCAGTTAGTGGGGAGTATAAACCACATCTCAACACTATCGATGAGGACTTTTGGGAAGTTGAATTTTTGGGTATAATTTAAGGGAGCTGTATATGGTTGATGATGGTTTGTTAGGTTGGCTGAGTTCTAGTTGTACGTATTCTTTTCATGGACGATAAAAACTCTGATGTTGTAACTAACCTGCTGGTTTATTGTGTGTGTGTGTGTGTGTGTGTGGAGATATATATTTTGATAATAGGTTGTTGATTGCGTTTGAGACTATGTCCTTTAGGTGAAAAGAATGATGACTATGTCATTACACCTATCCCTATAAGATTTGGGTATAGGATTTGGGGTGTGACAAATATGATTTCTCGAGTTGAGTTAAGCCTAGAGAGCGAGGATGAGACTGTAATTGATAGGATAGAAATAATACGCTTATTAATTATCCACCAAGTGTATCGAACATCAACATCAGCAAAGATGGTCCATTTTGTTGGTTGAAGATGGAGCAGTCTCCATAGAATGTCTCTCCTGTTATGCTCAGTGGGAAGAATGCCAAGTATAGATTGTTTCTGCGAACTCATTTTGCATCTCCATTGCTCTAAAGATGAAGGTGATACTCCATTCACTACTTGCATATTCATGAGACTGGTAGCCGGATTTATTCCTGTTTGCTGTTCTTTTGATACTCAAGTATGCAAAGAAAATTCTCCTTTGGCTATACGCATAGCATTTCCTTTATTTTACTTAGAAAGTTTAGTGAATTCGGACATCGTAGTTTAAATAAGCTGCTTGGGAAGTATAAGAGATCAGTCCAATCTCTCTCTTCAACATTGGTTCTTCAGATCATCCTCAAGGTCGGATGTCTTGAGATCTCCTCATCATCGGAGATGAAGCGATATCTTTAAAGTATACCTACTGTCTCTAATCAGAATATACGGTCTGTAAAGGCATACTTCTACTTAAAGCATCCAATTGAAGGCATAAGGAAGATCTAAAAAGGAAAATGTGTCGACAGGAAGATTATTTTTGTAAAATCTAATGCTTCGATAATTTGTTCAATACAGTAGAAGTTTCAAGTACAAATTACAGATGATATCTTACTCTTACGACGATAATATCACCCGTATGATGCCCGTCATTCCCTTCGCTGCTCATCTATCTTGTTTCTCGTACAAAGTAACAGTAACTCCCTTAGTGCAATAAAGACAAATAAAATGCAAAAGAAAGTCACACTCCATAGTTTTTAAGACCCCAACTGTCTGGGTGATTATTTGCTTGTTTATGGCTTGTTAGAGAGATATGGATTCATCAAACGTTGTTGTTTGATTCAATTGGTTGGCCAGTGGGAAAGACATCCATTTCTGTGACTTGTGGTTGGTGCTGTGAAGTTGTGGACTGCTTCGCACTATGGATGGAAGTCAGCATCTTCATGTCTAGAGACACTTCTTGTTGATCGTTGCTCTCATTTGTCTCTGCCATTTTCTTGTTGCCATCTTTGTATATCACGTAGAGGATCATTTGAGTGATGCCAAACAAGAATCCCAGTGTATTTGGTAGCTGAAACACCCAATTGGACCACCATATTAATTTCAAAATCAGAAAAAATGAAATGAGAGGGAGAGAGGTGTTGTATGTGTTTAAAGATAAATAAAAAAGTAAAGTATAAACTCCGATGATAGATGGAGGGAAAAGTACCAAAAAAGTCCTAAATTTATTCCCCATAAATTATTCAATAGGACCAATTTAGTCCTAAACTCTGCACATTGATGCCAATTCAGTCCATTCAGCCAATTTAAACCGGAAATCGCTGATGTAAACGCCGGCTGGTCGGCACTAGCGTCAATATTTTTAGTAATTTTTAAAGAATTTTCCCTTTTTCTTTTTTTTCCTTCTCTTCCCTTTGCCTGTGGCCGGTACTCAGCCATGGTTGATGACTGGCCAGAGGTGAGGACTGGCAAGGGGTCGAGCCCTCCCTAGAGTTGGTGAGAGCGACCCTCAGAAGTGGTCAGTAATCGGCCATGGGCCAAAGGCAAGAGAGAAAATGTCCACGTCAGCGTCAATCATTCGCCGGCCGTGCCACGTAGGACGGCCGACGTCCACGTCAACAATTTCCGACCTAAATTGGCCAAATGGACTGAATTGGTACCAATATGAAAATGTTTAAGACTAAATTGGTCCAATTGAAAAGTTTAGGATTGAATTGATACCAATGCAATAGGTTTAAGAATTTTTTGGTACTTTTCCCGATAGACGGTAGATGGTGTCAATCATAAATTAATAAATGGTTGGATTTGATTTTTATCGTTTTTCCGAGTCTAGGTTTAGACTATGAATTGTTTATTTGTCTATGCTTAACTGTCAATGGTCAAAGTAAGAAATACAAGAATTCTACTTGAAATGTTCACTAGAAATCTCAGGAATGACGACCGTGCAGAAAAAGATTCACATTCGTGGTGCAAGGTTTACTGGTGCATCCGTGTGAATTTGTAAATCAAAGTCAGGTATATGCAAATCGCACCTTGTGTAAGAAATCGCTGTAAAGTTGCATGTACAATGAAAAGCATTAGAGTTGAATGATTCAGAGAGCTAAATGGTACGTACAGCAATGAACATGTCCTTGACGAAGAGTCCATAGAAGAACCAGGTGCTGGCACAGAGGGTCAGGAAGAAGGACAGAAAGAATGGCATGAACTCCACACTTTTGGTCTTTATCACCCTCCTCTGCACAGAACACAAGATCACACGCTCAAAATTGAAAAACTCTTGTTTTGGACTGGTTTTGTGGTTAAAGCAGGTGCAAAGTGCTGCATCTCTAAAATTATCGCATAAAATGAAGGAATACCATGATGCTCAAAGGCGAGGCGAACACAGCCAGATTGAAGGCCGCGCAGATCCATCCAACGGCGTTGATGCGCTGCCGACCCTTGAGAAGAAAGATGGTCAGTGCCATCATCACTCCGAAACCTCCTACATTGAACACCAGCAGCAACTTCGCTGTGTACATCTGCTCAGATTGGTAATTACACAAATTTCCTTCAGATTTCGTTGTCGATTGGAGAAAAGTTGTAATTTAATAGAAGTTTTTCTTCTTTATTCCTCGTCGCAAAAATTTCTGAAGAATTGTTTTCCTTTTTTCTTTTTGCATATCTTCTTATATGTAGGAAATACCTATATATTCAAGAAGGGCTAACAAGTGAGGATGCTAGAAAGCTTTAGTTATGCTGACGAATATGTGAAAACACAAACTTCACGCCAAAAACAAGTGCATAACCATTATTCTAGCTTGTAAAAACAAGAGAGATAACAAATTGCGACAGTAGTTTTCTCTTCTAGATCGAGCTCGAGAGCCTGTCATAATTTGCTCTAACACTGGCACTTCGCAAGCTAATGAACACCACCTGGGTAAGATAACAAAGGGACAATAGTTTACTACAGCTTAAAGCGCAAAAGCAGTAAGAGAGAGAGTGACCTTCTCTTTGGTGGAGGCATAGATCAAGAAGAGAAGAAGATAGGCGGATTCAATGACGATGCCAATGGCATTGATGCTGATGATCATGGTGGCATTAGTCTTGAGGACTCCATAGTACAAGAGCAGTGATGCACTCGAAAGTGCCACCACATAGGGTATCGACTGATACCCATCCGACGACTTCTTCTTGTAGATTGTGTAAAATGTCGGTCTGCCAAAAACCAAAACAAAAAAAAGCTACTTTACCAATTATGTTTTTGCAAAAGGAATATTTCCAAATTCATGCTAGGATACTTATAATGGTGAAATGATACAAGGGACAGAAATGAAGAGTTGGAGGTCTTACATTGGTGCCAAGAACACCAAAAAGGACACGATGTTGCCTACATAGATTTAACAGAAAAGAAGACGAGAAATGTTAGAATCGTTCATAGAACTCAAATAGAAATATGATATGTTAAAAATGAATCCCATGGTTTGAATTCGATAATACCCGTAGGACCTTGTCGACCCACTTGGGACAAAACTCACCACATATTCAAATATATTACGAGCAACTCATTTTTTTTTACACGAAAAAAAAACAATTAGGAACTATACAAGTTTCGCTATCATTATAATTAACCAAAGAGACAAAAGCCTTTTCGTAGGATATGTATAATCATAGAAGAAGAACATAGAAAACATTAATTAGCATGATCATCTATAAACATGGACATGTATCATGCAACCGACGATATATGAGAAACGTTTCTCTAACTCTCAATTCAACCTTTTGAAGATTGACGAGAGTGCTGCTCATCACGAATGGTGTGTACCTAAGAGACCAAATATGAAGGCCAGCTGGTGAGCATTCAAGAACGCCATTTGATCTTGCACAGAAGTAATTAGAGAAATGTAAATATACTCCAACTAAAAAAAAATTTCCTCCTTTTTCTTATATTTTTTTTTTGTGGGGAGTGGTGATTGGTGAAGCACTTCGAGGCCTTACAACGATTTGTTTAACGCTGATAAGAACTTGAGTTTGAATTATGATGCGCATGGAGATGCTTATATAGGCGCAAAAGTTAGGGTTCAAGGGTCAGGCCAGTGTCGTTTTAAGGTTCGTGGTGATTCTTTGTTAGTAGCCAATGAGAGACAGAGTTGGAGTGTCTAACGTCAAGAAGATTACGTGCTTGGTTGCTATTTGCCCTTACTGGCGGCTAGCCAACTACAGCCGTGTCATGGAAAATACGTCATCACACATTCAAAGAGATTGACTTTGACGATGAAAATTGATATCGTCAAAGAGAGTATCAATGCAGAGTTGATGAATGCCATGTTGAATATGTACGATAAGATCTCTATGATAAATAATATTTACTTGATGCGACATCTATTTCACTTAAAAATGAGTGAAGGCGTGTTAGTTCTTGAGCTTATCAATAAATTTATTTTGGTTGTCAATCAGTAAAGTTTCGTTAAGATTGACTTTGATGATGAGGTACGTACTTTGATTTTATTATCTTCATCACAAGTTTTTTTTTTGAAGTACTTCATCACGAGTTGGAATACTACTGTTATTGCTGTTAGAATTTCTTCTTAGTCTAGAAGTTTGATGTTTATGAGATTTGTGATTTGATTTTGAGTGAAAACATTTGTGGAAGAGAATCTGGTGAATTGGTGGATGCTGCTTTAGTAGGCAAATGTAGAGGAAGAACTAGTCAGTTTAGGACTGGTAGTGTGTTTGAATTGTGACTAGAGGAGGCATCTCGGAAGATATTGACTTGAGCGGAAGAACAAGAAGGGTAAGAAAATCAAAGTTGAGTCTTCGAATAATATCGTTACAATTGCTAATGGTGTCTCGGATGGCGATGTTAATATCTTGTCTGTCATTGAGGATTTGTCGCTTGATGGTTGTATCATAAATTCTAGTTGCTCTTTTCATGCTACACCAAACAAGAATTGGTTTACTACTTATCAATGTACGAATAGTGATAAAGTACAGTTGGGGAGCAACGCTTAGTGCAATGTTATGTGTATTGGCAATATTAAAGTCAGAATGCATGATAGTATCGTGAGGATATTGACTAAAGTGAGGCATGTTCCAAATTGAAGAAGACGCATTGTTTTAGTACTATTGATTTAGCTTGGTATCGATATACTTTTGGAGGTGAAATTGTGAACGTCGTTTGAGATGCCCTAATAATAATGAGAGTAATCAAGCACAGTAGCTCGTATAAACTTCAATCTCATTTGCCGATTCTGTTTTTTTAAAATATTTGGTTATCCATATTATGTTTAAGTAAGTGATTGTAAGCTCAATAGGGGGGCAAGATTGTGTATATCCTTAAGCAATGCATGAGGTGAGTAAAGTTATCGGTTGTGGTGCCTAAAATTACATCATCCGTTATCAGCAAAGTTGTTATACTTGACGAGTCTCCCATACTTCTAGATAGGAGTGGAGTGACAGTAGCAGTGTTCATACAGGTCGGGATTGTGTTTACTCAAGGTGGAGTTGCAACAAAAAACTCCTAAGCTAGAGGTGTAAATGTGTTGGGAAAACCTCTCTATAAGATGTTGATGATTCCATATCCTTGGTGCTAATATTTACTATGATAATTACCAATGTTAATGATAGTATCAAGATGGACTCAGATGATATAGATTTAGTGAAGACCGCGATAAAGATGTTGACAAGAGGAGAACAAATTTCAATGTGACAAAAAGTTCATGGAGACTTGAAAGTACCAGGGTCGACAATTGGTCTACATGATGTCTTTGGATGCTGATATGCTCAAGAGCATTATTCGATAGCCAATTACAAGTCATTTCTCATGGATCAATCATGGATAGCATCAACAGATTGTGATACCAAACACGTGCTAATAATGAGCATTAGATCACGCTGGTATCAAGTTTCTAATGATGTTGGTAACATGTCTATTTAAATATGACCGTAGAACAAAGAAGACATAGACGTTAACGGCTGAGAAATCACATCAGAAGAATCGGGAAAAGACTATAAAGCATCCGATAACTTTTGGTGAAACAATCAGAGGATCGACGAAGTGATAGCTCCAACAGACTCCATTTTGGAAAACCTGCTACTGTCCGATGAAAAGAATGTATGGGCAATCCTGACTTCGACAACAGCTCTTAACAAATTGATTCTCAATAGAGTCTCCAACAGATTTATTGAAGATGTTTGTATAAAAAAGAATCAAAGAAGCTATATGAGGGTTGGACGGAAAAAGAATACACGGACGCTATTCTTCATTATTCTCTTTAGTAATCAAAATTGTCACCATATCCGTCTGGAAATTTCTGTGTAGATTTCAAGTTGCTTTTGCAATCGTGATAAGATCAAGTGTATAAAAATAATAACAATATTTGTGTCGTGGTAATGTGATTTCTCTATTGATAGGAGCAACACTTGTTGATTCTAACTTGTTTTGAAGATTACTAGTGAAATTCAATGCATATTAAGGGTGCCTCCTAGAGAGTGGACATAAGCTCGGGGGTAAAACTGCACCACTATAAATTGGTGTGTGCTTTGCATCTTTCACTTATCATTATCAGCATTTGTTCATTAGCAACGCCTATACATAACTCTTTAATATAATTTTATTGTCGTTCAGACACATTTTTTTATTCCGCGAAATTGTAAATTCCCAATATAAACTATTCACCCCCCCCCCCCCCCTAGGTTGCATCCATTAGCCCCAACAATAGAGTTGGCATTCAAATGAAGTTCATAATTATGGTGAAGTTTTAGTGTGGCTTAGACTTAGAAGATCTTCGCAGCTATCGAGGCCATGAACAAAGTGATTGTGATTTAACTCAAACATCAAGCCAATTGGAGATTGTTAAAATTTCTTGAGTTTGAACCCATAAGCGAAATTCCGAATTCACATATGGAATTTCCTATTTGGGATGTTCGGCCTTTATCCATTGACCATTGGAATTTGGAAACTAAAAGATTTTCACGCAAAGATCAAATTAGACTAAGTTTCCTAATAAGACAAGGAAGTGACTTTTCTCGTAGGACTTAGATGTTGGCCACAAGGTTTCCTAACGTTGTTGGAGATATATATTAAAATGCAATCGTGGGTTTATGGTCTTCCTGCCATTTGTGCAAAGTGGGGGTGCCTTGCGTGTGCAATAGTTAAGCGTGAATTTAAGGAATGGTTTCCTCGTGAATTACTTCCGGGAGACTGGTGCTCAAGCCAATAAATTTTGGTGGTAAGATTAGGAAACTCCTTTATCAAAGTAAGAAATTGTGAGATCGAAATACCGTGTGAGTTATTGTGTGAAATTAAGGACTAAGAAATACTCATAATGTTTGAATAACTCGAGCTGTAGTTATAATCTTTCAAGAAACGAGTGTTCAAGCCAATGAATTTAGTGAGAAGATTTATAAATTCTTTTGTGAGATCGAGGGATTGTTTCGCGAAAAATTGTGAGAATTAAATACTGTGTGAGTTATTTTGCTTAATTGAGGGCTGAAAAATGCTCAGAGCATTTGAATGACTTCGGTATAGTTATAATACCTGTTGTATCGCTTGATTTATAATAAAATTCTTTACTACTTTTTCGTGAATTAATCATGTAAATCTGATATCTGATTCACATTTTTGTTGTGTTAATTTTTTCTACCACCTAATTTCCAAAACAATGACAATTAAGGAAATGGTCCTCTACAACTATTAGCTAATACTTAGCATGTACCACACTAGCTGATACGCCTGATAGGGTTTAAAAGTTGTCCTTCTCTATAGCTTGTAGCTAGCATTCATTAAATGAAATTAAATTCAACTAAGGAAAAATGAAAAGGCTACTTCAAGTCCGAAAGGACCACTATATAGACAGAATAAAGCGATTCTTTAAAGTCGGAAAATTTTCAAATTCCAACTTAATGATTCCAAATTCTGTGGGAAAGGAGGGAAGTGAAAACATCAAGAGAAAGAAAAGGCCATATTCACCTAGGCTATGCATGTACATGCACGGCCGAAGAGTTATCAATGGTGGGAATTTGTTGGTCCATTTGCCGTGACTTATTTTGTATACTAAAGTTACTTAGTAATGTATGTCCTAGCAAAAAAATATCATGTCAGCCCTAGAAAATTATGAAAGAGTAAGTCATTCAAACTTCCATAAGCATTCATATGTATAAGACACGACTTTCTAATAATACTTGACACTCTCTCCAGGGATGGCCGGTAGGATTAAAAAAGCTAGAAGTGCACAAACTTACATGTATATATATGGGTATGGATTTAGGTGAGCAAAAGATCCTTGGTAACCTTCAGTGAATTGGCCGAATGATTGAAGGCTTAATTCAAATGTGATGGATCTCGTATTCAAATTACAATGTGTCCCGTCTCGGAATAACCCGAGTCACGCTCACCGCCCTATTAGAATAACCTAAGTCACACTCGCCGCCCTATATGTACCCTTGCCTGATGCTAGTGGATGAGGTGGCTTATATGTGTTTATGAGAGTGGATGAGGTAGCTTATATAACTTTATGAGAATTAATGGAGCAAGAAAGTTCGAGTACCTTGGACTATCGAGAAAAGTGTCAAAAAAAATTCCTAAACTTTTTGCATTGGTATCAATTTAGTCCTAATTTTTTTTTTGTGTCAATTCAGTCATCAACTTTTTGTGTTTGTGCCAATTTAGTCCTAAACCTTTTGCATTGGTACCAATTGAGTCCTAAACCTTTTTTTGGTATTAATTCAGTCCTAAACCTTTTGCATTTGTGCAAATTCAGTCCTAAACCTTTTGTATTGATGTCAATTCAGTCCTTCCGGCTAATAGCTATTCATGTGTCGAAGGACTGAATTGGCACCAATGCAAAAAGTTTAGGACTGAATTGGCACAAAT